TCAAAAACAAAAGCTTAAAGCCTCCTAGGTGTTTCCCAATTTAACTTCCAAAGGCCTCCTAGGGGGCTTCAATACTAAGCTTCAAGCCTTTTAGGTGGCTTCAAAAATAATTTTTCAAGCCTCCTTTGGGGGTTTCAATACTAACTAAAAGCCCTTCCAAAGGTGGCTTTTAATACTAAGCTTCAAGCCCCTATTTTGGTTCAATACAAAGGCTTCAAGCCTCCTATGGTTTCTTTTACTAAGTTTCCCAAGCCCCCTAGGTGGTTCAAAAACTAAGCTTCAAGCCTCCAATTTGGCTTCAATACTAAGCTTCAAACCCTTTCCGGGGGTGGTTCAATACTAAGCTTAAAGCCTCCCAAGGGGCTTCAATACAAAGGGCTTAAAGCCCCCTTTGGTAAGGGTTTCAAAAAAAGTTAAAAAGGCCTCCTAGGGGGGCTAAATTTACAAGCTTCAAGCCCCCAAAGGGTGGTTTCAATAAAAAACTTAAAAGTTTCCCTAGGTGGCTTAAAACACAAAACTTAAAGGGCCCTCCAAAAATGGCTTCAATACAAAGCTTCAAGCCTCCAAGGTGGCTTCAAAACTAAGTTTTCAAGGTTTCCTATTTGGGGCTTCAAAAATAAGTTTTAAAGCCTCCTTTTTTGGTTTTTAAATTTCAAACCCCCTTAAAGGGTTTCCCAAGGTGGCTTCAGTCCCTAAACTTCAAGCCCCCAAGGTGGTTTAAAATACTAAGTTCAAACCCACCAAAGTGGTTTAAATACTAAGCTTTAAGCCTCCAATGTGGCTTCAATAAAAAGCTTCAAGCCCCCAAAGTGGCTTCAATCTAAGTTCAAGCCCCCATCGGTGGTTTCTTTTCTAACTTTAAAAGCCTCCCGGTGGCTTAAAACCCAAAGTTTTTCCCAAAGGCCTCCTGGGGGTGGTTTCCCAATACAAAGGGTTAAAAGCCTCCTAGGGGGCCTTCAATACTAAGTTAAAAGCCCCCTCGGTGGCTTAAAATCTAAGCTTCAAGCCTCCCGGTGGTTAAATACAAAGCTTAAAAACCCCTCCTGGGTTTGGCTTCAAAAAAAAAAGCTTAAAGGGCCTCCAGGTGGCTTCAGTACTAAGTTTCCCAAGCTTCCTATTTTGGCTTAAATTATAACCCCTTAAACCCTTTCCTGGGTGGCTTAAAATACTAAGCTAAACCTTCCTATTGGCTTCAATACTAAGTTAAAGGCCTCCAAGGTGGCTTCAATACTAAGCTCAACCTGGGTGGGTGCCTTAAAAAGCTAAGCTTCAAGCTTCCTAGGTGGCTTCAATACTAAGCTTCAAGACTCCTGGGTGACTTCTATTATTTAAGTTTTAAAGCCTCCTAGGTGACTTCAAAAATAAGCCCCCAAACCTCCTAGGTGGCTTCAATAAAAAGTTTTCAAGCTTTTTAGGGGGCTTAAAATACTAAGCTTAAAGGGCCTCCTAGGTGGCTTCAGTAAAAAGCTTTAAAAGCCTCCAAGGGGGCTTCAATACTAAGTTTACAAGCTCCTTTTTTGGTTTTCCAAATACAAAACTTCAAGCCTCCTATTGGTTTCAATACTAAGCTTCAAGCCCCCTAGGTTTGGCTTCAAACTAAGCTTCAAGCCCAAAAGGGGGTTTTAAATACTAAGTTTCAAGCTTCCTAGGTGGCTTCAAAAACTAAGCTTAAAGGTCCCTAGGTGGCTTCAATAATAAGCTTGAAGCCCCCGGGTTGGCTTAAATTACTAAGCTTCAAAGTCCCCCTAGGTGCCCTTCAATACTAAGTTCAAGCCCCCCTAGGTGGATTCAATACTAAGCTTCGAGCTTCCTAGTGGCTTCAAAAACTAAGCTTAAAGTTTCCCCTATTTGGGCTTAAAATACTGGGGCTTCAAGCCCTCCAGGGGGAAATCAATACAAAGCTTAAACCCCCAAGGGGGCTTCATTACAAATCTTCAAGCCTCCTAGGGGGCTTAAATACTAAGTTTAAAACCCTCCTATTTGGTTTCAATCAAGCTTCAAGTCCTAGGTGGCTTAATTTACAAAGTTTTAAAACCCTCCGGGGTGGCTTCAATATTTAAGTTTCCCAAGCCTCCTGGGTTTGGCTTCAATACTAAGCTTCAAGCCCCTAGGTGGTTTTCAATAAAAACTTCAAGTTTCCAAGGGGCTTCAACACAAAAACTTCAAGCCCCCCAAAAGGGTTTTTAAAATACTAAGCCCCAAGCCTCCAGGGGCTTCAAAAACTAATTTCCAGGGCCCTATTTTGGCTTCAATAATAAGCTTCAAGCCCCCTAGGGGTTTCCCAATACAAAAGTTTAAAAGCTTCCTAGGGGGCTTCAGTACAAAAACTTCAACCCTCCTGGGTGGTTTTTCAATCAAAGCTTCAAGCCTCCAAATTGGCTTAAATTTACAAAGCTTTAAACCCCCTTTATGGGGTTTCCCAATAAAAAGCTTCAAGCCTTTTATGTGGCTTCAATACTAAGCTTCAAGCCTCCTCGGTCCCTTCAATCTAAGCTTCACGCCCCTAGGTGGCTTCAATACAAAGGGCTTCAACCTCCTCGGGGGCTTAAATACAAGCCAACCTCCTGGGGGTTGGCTTAAATTACAAAGCTTAAAGGGCCTCCTGGGTGGTTTTCAATACTAAGCCCCAAGCCTCCTGGGGTGGCTTAAATACAAGCTTCAGCCTCCGGGTTTGGCTTCAATACAAATTTCCCAAGCCTCCTAGGGGGCTTCATTTATTTAAGTTTTCAAGTTTTCCTATGTGGGCTTCAATCTAAGCTTCAAGCCCCCTAGGGGGCTTAAAACCCAAAGCCAAGCTTTATGTTGGCTTAAATAAAAGGCTTCCCAAAGCCTCCGGGTTTGGTTTTAAATACTAAGCTAAAACCTCTTTGGGTCCCCCTTCAATGCTAAGTTTTCAAGTTTCCCTAGGTGGCTTAAATTTAAAAAAAGTTTTCAAAAAAATCCTGGGTTTAAATTTAAAAATACTAACTTAAACCCTCCTGGGCTTCAATACTAAGTTTCCCAAGCCCCCCTAGGGGGGTTTTTCAAAAAATAATTTTCAACCCTTCTTAGGTGGTTTCCCAAATATTTAAGTTCAAAGCCTCCTATTTTGGCTCAGGAACTAAGTTTTCAAGCCTCCTAGGGGGGTTCAAAAATTAAGTTTCAAGTCCTTTGGGGCTCCAAACAAACCTTAAAGCCTCCAAATTTTGGCTTCAATACAAAAGCTTAAAGGGCCCCTAGGTGGCTTCAATACAAAAGCTTCAAGCCTCTTTGGGTTGGTTTAAATACAAAGTTTTTCAAGTTTTCCTTTGGTGGCTTCAATACTAACCCTTCAGGTCCCCTTGGGGGCCCTTCAAAAATTTAAGCAAAAACCCCCCCTAGGTGGCTTCAATCCAAAAGTTTTAAAACCCCTAGGTGACTTAAAATACTAAGCTTCAAGTCTCCAAGGTGGATTCAATATAAAGCTTAAAAGCTTCCTAGTTGGCTTCAATACAAATTTTAAAGTTTTAAATTTTTGGGCTTAAATACTAAGCTTCAAGCCCCCCTAGTGGCTTAAATACTAAGCTTAAACCCTTTCTAGGGGGCCCTTCATTACTAATCTTAAAAGGTTTTCCTTTTAGGGGGCCTTCAAAAATATCCCTTTCAACCCTCCTGGGTGGGCTTTAATACAAAAGCTTAAAAGCCCCCCTGGGTTGGTTTTCAATATTTAAGTTTTCAAGAAACCCCGGGTTGGCTTCCAATCTAAGCTTAAAGTTTCCCCAAAGGGGCTTCAAACAAAGCTTCAAGCACCTCGGGGTTTAAAACCCAAAGCCCCGGGGCCCCGGGTTTGGCCTCAATCTAAGCTTCAAGTTCCCCTTGGGTGGCTTAAATTTCTAAGCTTCAAGCCCCCTAGATGCCTCAATACTAAGTTTTAAAAGCTTCCAGGGGGTTTTTCCAATACTAAGCTTAAAAGCCCCCTAGGTGGCTTAAATACTAACTTCAAAACCTCGTAGGGTGCCTTCAATCCTAATCTTCAAGCTTCCTAGGTGGTTTCCCAGTACAAAAGTTTAAACCCTCCTAGGGACTTCAATACTAAGTTTCAACCTCCTAGGTTGGCTTAAAATACTAAAGCTTAAAATTTCTTAGGGGGCCTTCAATACTAAGCTTCAAGCCCCTGGGTTGGCTTCAAAACTAACTTCAAGCCCCTAGGTGGTTTTAAATCCCAAGTTTTCAAGCCTCCTAGGTGGCTTCAATATTAAGCTTCAAGCCTCCTAGGGGGGTTTAATACAAAGCTTTAAAGGGCCTCGAAAGGGGGCCCCTCAATTTTAAGTTTTCAAGCCTCGTAGGGGGCTTAAATTTACAAACCCTTGGAAGGGTTTTCCCAAAAAGTGACTTATAAAAAATTTTAAAAAAAATTAAATTCCTGGGGGTTTTTTTCCCTCTGAAAATCTCTCTCAGGGGGGAAAAATATTCACTTTGTCAGAGTTTGTGGGCTCAAACTTTTTGGGAGGAAGAATTGAATTTTTCCCTTTGTTATTTGTAGCTGCTTGCTCTCTCTCTCTCTCTCTCTCTCTCTCTCTCTCTCTCTCTCTCTCTCTCCTCTCTCTCTCTCTCTCTCTCTCTCTCTCTCTGCACGAGGGTTTTACAGCATCCTAACTTTATTTACAAGCTAAGAGCTGTTATCTACCTCAGCTCATTTGACAGCCTTGTGTTTATCACCGTGGTGAACACAGTACTATCCTCGTTGTGGTTGCAGGGGTTGATTCACAGCGCCTGCCCCACCCCCTCTTCACTAGGTCACTCTTCCCGCCCCATGAGCTTTATCATGCCTCTTCTTAAACCTATGTATGGATTCTGCCTCAACTACATCACTTCAGAGACTATTCCACTTCCTGACAATTTTTTGGCTGAAAAAATACATCCTAACATCCGTGTGGTTCATCTGAGTCTTCAACTTCCAACTGTGACCTCTTGCTGTTGTGTCCCATCTCTGGAACACCACAGTGTTCACCAGTGTTCACCAACACTGCTCTTCACCACAGGTTCACCATCACCAACACAGTAAGAGTGGGCAACGTAGAGAGTGATCTCCTGCAGTTAGTGAGTTCTGAGGCCAGAATCCTCTTCCTGTACTGCACCCGCTCGGAGGCTGCCTCCATCCTCGCCAAGGCTGCCAAACTAGGCCTGACAGGTGAGTGTGTCCTCCTACCTGGGCACCTAACTCCTCCCTAGGTTCCTGTCTCCTTCCTAGGTACCCATGTCTTCCCTACATACCTGGAAATAAATGCTATAAAATACCGACAGAATGGAAATATAAACACATATGCAGTATACTGTGACCCTTTATTGACAACGTTTCGCCCACACAGTGGGCTTTATCAAGTCACAAACAGGTGGAAGGTACGTGAGTATTTATAGTCAGGTTCAGAATGCTGAGGTCAGGTGGAGAATGCTGCAACTGATGATGTACCGAGTGGGGTTATTCAGTCTAAAATCTTGGGTAGCTTGGAAGGGAGATTGGATAAGTATATGAGTAGACCTTCTGCAGTGTTCCTCCATTTATGTTCTTATGTGGGATAGCGATGAAGAAGTTTCTTGGCAAGTGGTTCAGCTATGTTATAGATATAAGCCGTTGTTCTGGTTAAGTTGTTAGATATAGAGATAAGTGATGATTCCAGGATTCTTCGGTTATCTCTATATCCAACAACTTCAACCAGAACAATGGCTTCTATAACATAGCTGAACCACTTGTCAAGAAACTTCTTCATCGCTATCCCACATAAGAACATAAATGGAGAAACACTTCAGAAGGTCTACTCATATACTTATCTAATCTCCCTTCCAAGCTACCCAAGATTTTAGACTGTATAACCCCACTCGGTACATCATCAGATGCAGCATTCTCCACCTGACCTCAGCATTCTGAACCTAACGATAAATACTCACGTACTTTCCACCCAGGTAGATCTGTTTGTGACTTGATAAAGCACACTGTGTGGGCGAAACGTTGTCAATAAAGGATCACATTATACTGCATATGTGTTTATATTTCCTAGATACCTATCTCTCCCTAGGTTCCTATCTGCTCTCTGCTTTCTTATCTCCTTCCTAGGTACCCTTTTCTTCCCTAGATACCTGTCACTCGTAAGTACCTGTCTCCTCTCTAGATACCATTCTCTCCCTAGATACCTAGCTCCTCATGTAAGGGTGGTCCGGGGTACAGCTCTCCCTGGACTATCTCTCACCATCCTATAATTCTGGGCCCTTGGCGCAGACTAAGTCCCAGAATCAGACTATATTAACTTCCCTTCTCCTAAGAGCTTCATGGATGTAACAAGGTTATTGATTCCCTTATAATAATAATAATAATAATAATAATAATAATAATAATAATAATAATAATAATAATAATAATAATAATAATAATAATAATAATAATAATAATCTTCACCAACAGGCACCAACTACTTATGGATCGTCACTCAGAGCGTTATCCAGACTCTGTCCGAGGCTCCCCAGGAGTTTCCCGTGGGTATGTTAGGTGAGTTACCCCTGACACTAGCTTCTCCTCTCTCGGTATAACTAAGTTACCTCTGACACCAATGTCTCCTCTCTCAGGGTGACTAAGTTAGCCTGACACCAGCTTCTCCTCTCTCAGGATAACTAAGTTACCCGACACCAGCTTCTCCTCTCTCAGGATAACTAAGTTACCCCTGACACCAGCTTCTCCTCTCTCAGGATAACTAAGTTACCCCTGACATCAACTTCTCCTCTCTCGGTATAACTAAGTTACCCCTGACACCAGCTTCTTGACTGCTGATGCACAGGTAACATACAACCTTAATGCCCCCGCGCGTAGTCGATCGGCTTTAAACCTCATATATAAACCCACCACGAAGTTATAGTGACCTTTAGTCACACCTGCTGAGCATTTTACTAACACTCCTAGTGTTTATTACGCAGGTACACTGTAACTAGTTCACACTCTCAATGTATATTCTAATAATGCTCATTTAGATTTGTTGGTTCATTAGGTTTCAGGCCAATCGACTATAGGAAGGTCATTAGGAGTACGTGTAACATGTACACCAGGAGTCAAAGATATTTCAGTTTCCACTGTATGGATTAAAATATACTTTAAGAGTATACACACTGAGATATACTCCTCCACCCATTGCTAAAAATATATACATTAATTAGTGTGTAATATGTAGAAGAAAGATATGTTGGTAGTGGCAGAAAGTAGCATGGAAGAAAAAGAACAGAGAATGAGAGAGCAAAGAATGGGAGGGGGGGAGAAGAACGGAGTTAAACCTGTCCACTACGTGGCACCAGCCACTGGATGAGTCCAAGGTCAGCTGTGTAGTATCACTAAACATTACTGGTGCTTTTGACAGTGTATGGCGGCACCAGGGCCTCTTTGCAAAACTGGAAGCAATAGGAGTCGCTGGCTCTGCACTATGCCTCCTCAGCGATTGAAATCAGATCTCTAAGTGTAGTTCTCAGAGGGACAGAGTCAACAAGACACTCTATTAGTGCAAGTTTGCCATAGGGAAGTGTGCTAGGGCCATTGTTACGGAATGTCTACTTCAATGACCTTCCATTCATCCCAAAATCCCAAGCATATGCAGATGACTACTCTGACATTTACTTATCAAAGAGAGAAAAAAATGGCCTGAGCTTGCTACCACCTGCAGCTCACAAGACTGCCATCCCCACGAGCCCCTTTGTGGGGCGGGACAGATGGCAGACCAGAGGCCTAGCATCTCCCTGCGAGCCCCGTGAGGGCGGGGACTGTGGCTAGGCCTGGGGACACTTGGTCCCAAAGATGAGGGGGTACTTGTCCCTCCTCCCATGGGAGACTTAGGTCTCGAGACACTCCCCAGATAGGGAGCCAAGGCCGGGTCACCACTATTGGAAAAGACCCGGGCCGGGAGAATACTGGCGAATAAAAAACAAAAAGAGAGGAAATGCCAGCTGTTCTTAGTTACATCAATTACCATCTTACAGTTATATCAACCCTGGAAAAACCATGGCAAGTTATATTTACTTGTGAGAAAACACAAATGATGATGGTCTCTATCCACCATGATGGTATTGCTGGAGCAGTGGTAAGAATGAATGGGTGAGTGTTGGAACCCGGGGATGAGGCTGATATCTTTGGGGGTTAAATGTGACTCCAAACTGACTATGAAGTGAACTTCTATGCAACAAGACGGGCAGCAAACAGTAACTGCTCATTGGTTGTAACCTTAAGAAGATCACTTCATCTGAGATCATTTATCCCAGGATGACTCCAATCTGGAACATGTTTGCATAGCATAATAACATAGAAAAAAATAAAGTCAATTGACTAAATGAAATCGCTGGGCTACAGATGGCTACAACTTCATCCTGTTCCATATTTGTATGTCCCATAACAATAAAAAGGCTTTGAAATGAGCTCATGTGGGTAACAGCTCTTAGCTTCCAAATAAAAGGTACGAACCCTTAACTTTTGTGTGTAAAAAAGAGAGAGGGAGAGAGAGAGACAGAGAGAGAGACAGAGAGAGAGAGAGGAGAGAGAGAGAGGAGAGAGAGAGAGAGAGAGAGAGAGAGAGGAGAGAGAGAGAGAGAGAGAGAGAGAGAGAGAGAGAGAGAGAGAGGGAAGCTAACCTTGCAGAGAACATTCATGGTAACCAACACTAGAGTGAGAGACAACAAACACTTTTCAGTTCAATCACTGGCGGATCGTCTACCGTTGTTGGTTGAACATAAAAGTTGTATTTTTTGCTCAGCAACTTCGAGTTCAATGTGTTGATGTTATTATTGAGTCACACCAGTACAAAATCAAACACCCAAACAATAATATACATATATGTGCCATCGAAAAGTTCACAAAACCCATTTTTGCGCTGGTTCAAAATAATATTCCGGCTTGTGAGCTAAACTTTTGAGGTCGCCCGGGAAAATATTCGACGCTATTGAATGAGTAGATAAAAATGGAGGCGGCTTTGAAGCCACGGGATATTGCTAGCCAAATATAAAGAGAAAAAAATTCACATTTTTGTAAAATGAAGGTCCGCTGGTATCCCCAGGAAAACAATAATTATTTACCAACAGGTAAACAGCGTTGCAGGTAAATTATTTGGATTTTTAAATAGAAGATAGAGATATAGAGGGAAAGAGAGGTAGGGGTGAACTGCAGTGTTTGGGGGAGGGGGGTGATGTAAGCTACCTTGGGGAGGGGGAGATGTGATCTACCTTGGGGAGGGGGAATTGTGAGTTACTTTGGGGAGAGGGAAGTGTAAGCTACCTTGAGGAGAGAGAAGATGTAAGCTACCTTGGGGAGGGGAAGATGTAAGCTACCTTGGGGAGGGGGAAGATGTAAGCTACCTTGAGGAGGGGGAAGATGTAAGCTACCTTGAGGAGAGAGAAGATGTAAGCTACCTTGGGGAGGGGGAAGATGTAAGCTACCTTGGGGAGGGGGAAGATGTAAGCTACCTTGGGGAGGGGGAGATGTAAGCTACCTTGAGGAGAGAGAAGATGTAAGCTACCTTGGGGAGGGGGAAGATGTAAGCTACCTTGGGGAGGGGGAAGATGTAAGCTACGTTGGGGAGGGGGAAGATGTAAGCTACGTTGGGGAGGGGAAGATGTAAACTACCTTGGGGAGGGGGAGAGATGATCTACCTTGGGGAGGGGGAATTGTGAGTTACTTTGGGGAGAGGGAAGTGTAAGCTACCTTGGGGAGGGGGAAGATGTAAGCTACGTTGGGGAGGGGAAGATGTAAACTACCTTGGGGAGGGGAAGAGGTAAACTACCTTTGGGAGACGGAAGATGTAAACTACCTTGGGGAGGGGGAAGATGTTAGCTACCTTGGGGAGGGGAAGATGTAAACTACCTTGGGGAGGGGAAGAGGTAAACTACCTTGGGGAGACGGAAGATGTAAACTACCTTGGGGAGGGGAAGAGGTAAACTACCTTGGGGAGACGGAAGATGTAAGCTACCTTGGGGAGGAGGAGATGTGAACTACCTTGGGGAGGGGGAAGATGTAAGCTACCTTGGGGAGGAGGAGATGTAAACTACCTTGGAGAGTGGAGGCACTTAAACCGTGATCCTGGGATTGCCAGGTTCAACACTGTACGCTACAGAGCTTTTGAAGGGAAAGTTCCACAGACAGCAGTGCTGTGTCCTGTCCGTCTCAGAGGCCACTGTGACACAGCTTTGCTCACCCCCACACCACCACCATCCTGCAAATCACATAAGTTCTATGTATAACTGGACATTCATAAGGAATTTATGGATTCGTTTAGTAAAGTTTGTAGCTAGTAACCTGTGGCTAGTATCTTGTTAGTACCTTGTGGGTAGTACCTTGTAGCTAGTACCTTGTTGCTAGCACCTCGTGGCTAATACTTTGTAGCTAGTACCTTGTGGCTAGTACCTTGTTAGTACCTTGTGGCTAGTACCTTGTTAGTACCTAGGGGCTAGTACCTTGCGGCTAGTACCTTGTGGCTAGTACTTTGTAGCTCGTACCTTGTGGCTAGTACCTTGTGGCTAATACCTTGTGGCTAATACTTTTTAACTAGTATCTTGTGGCTAGTATCTTGTAGCTAGTACCTTGTGACTAGTACTTTGCAGCTAATATCATGTGACTAATACCTTGCAGCTAGTACCTTGTGGCTAGTACCTTGTGGCCCGTACCTTGTAGCTAGTAGCTTGTGGCTAGTATTTTGTAGCTAGTACCTTGTCGATAGTACCTTGTAGCTAGTACCTTGTAACTAATATCTTGTAACTAGCACCTTGTAACTAGTACATGAATAATCAGTTCACTGTAGGTTATGTTAGACTGTTCTAACATGAGAGTCTTCAAAGAGCAGTCGTCTCAGTAAGTTGAAAGAGGGCGGACGGGGACCGTAGAGTGTTGACCTGACTCCCCCGGGGCCGGAGGCTTACAAACATTTGTGGTATACCGCTTGCTGCACTCCCTTCAGTGTTTCCCCACGGGTTTAGTGCCTCACGTGAATAAAAGAAGTGGTATAGAACGACTTAAGCCTGTTTGTCGTATATGGAAAGCCTGGTGGTACCTGTTATCCGCCTGCCAATTAAGAAGTTTTCACTGACACAGTGATAACGAGCACTGCCGCCTCCTGATGATAACTCTGACAACTTGTAGTGGTGGTCACTCAGAGTTTCGTCTTTAAAGTTGGACTGAGTCTCCATCTCCAAAGTTGTCTCTCTTTGAGTTATCTTAAAGAAGTTTTTGGATAAGAAATCTCTTTTTCAGTTCGGTTTTGCTGAGCCATAGAGATTTCAGGGGGGAAATATTAGCTGTTTCTTTCAGAACTGATGTCGTATTGGGAGGTTAGAGAGAGAGAGAGAAAGAGAGAGAGAGAGAAAAAGAGAGAGAGAAAGGAGAGAGAGAGAAAGAGAGAGAGAGAGAGAGAGAGAGAAAGAGAGAGAGAGACAGAGAGAGAGAGGAAGAAAGAGAGAGAGAGAGAGAGAGAGATTTTCAAAGACTTCATTTATATACCCTGCGTCTGAGCATCGTCTACAATACAAGTC